GCCCGGCTATTTTTTGGTTGCAGCCGTCATTGTTGTTTGGCGGGTCCGGGCTGGATTCGAACCTGCCACCTTAGGTGTATGTGGCTGGCGCCTTAGCCAGTTGAGCCACAGGCGCCGAGCCTAGTTAGCTTTGCTCTTACAAAGCTAGAGCTGTTTGAATCTCCCCATATCCCCTTAATATGTCTTTGTATTCTCGAGCTGGCCACTGTGGTATGCAGCCTATTTCCTAGATTGCATCCTAATCATTTTCCTGTTCTCTTTCTCAGGGAGGATGGGCCACCCTTGGCCCTGGGGAGCGGTGCGATTCTGGCATCCACCTTCTCCAAGTCTGGCAGCTATTTTGCTTTAACTGATGACAGTAAGCGTCTGATTCTTTTCCGTACAAAACCATGGCAATGTCTGAGTGTCAGGTATGAAATGCTAACACTGGGTAACTAAGATGCTGTATGCGCTCCTTGTGTTTTTGCATGGCTGTAGTGATAGTGACAGAAACGGCAGTGAGAGGCAGTTGACACAGAGCACCAGTTAGGTACCAGACACTGTTTTCAGTAATTTCTGTGTATTAACTGATCTGATCGTAGCAGCACTGGGGGGAGGTGGCAGGGGCATTGTTTTCTCCCATAGTGGGTGGCATTGAGTAGGTGGCTGAGCTCAGCCAGCTCGGAAAGGCAGAGCAGGGCCCTATGGCTAGTCACTCTGGCTCCAGGATCAGGCCCCTGACAGCTGTGCTGTCCTGTATTCCAAAGTGTTCCTCCCGCCTCGTGATTAACAGGAAGGGGTTGTCAGCTTGCATCATGCAGGAGTTGAGGTTTTAGACAGGTTAAGGCTGCTGTACGACCCTTCTAAGCCAGGTAGGTTCAGTGCCCTTGTCTCTGAGTGTCTGAGGGGGTGGGGTGTAGGTGAGCCTGGGTGGGGAGGTCAGCACCACTGGGCCCCCTTGCCCCCGTTGCCCAGCAGAGTCCTGCAGATGTTCGTCCGCCTGCTTCAGGAGTGTTCACCATCACTTTCTTTTTTTTTTGAGACAGTTTCATTCTGTGCTTTGGGTACAGTGCGGTGGCGTCATAGCTCACAACAACCTCAAACTTTTGGGCTCAAGTGATCCTCTTGCCTTAGCCTCCTGAGTGGCTAAGACTACAGGCACCTGCCACAGTACCTGGTTAAGTTTTCTGTTTTTAGTAGAGACAGGGTCTCATTCTTGCTGAGGCTGGTCTTGAACTCTTGAGCTCAGTTGGTCCTCCTGCCTCAGCCTCCCAGAGTGCTGGGATTACAAGTGATTCTCTTGACTTTCTGAAAGGGAAGGAGCCCAGCAGTTGTGTGACTCTTTCCTGAGCTGCTGTCTCTTTGCACTGCCACTATGTCCTGGTAGGAGGAGGTGGGTGATGCACATTTATATTTTTGTTGGTTCCTAATGTGTGTTCCCAATTTCCATGATAGGGTGGTGGCCACAGTCGTACAGATCATTCTGTCATTGATGCCAACTGATACGCAAGCAGATTTGGCCCTCAGCCCCTCATCCTTGTGTCCCTGAAACTGTGTGGCTTACTGTCTCTTGATAATAGGAGATAAACATTCAAGTTATAATGTTTGAACTACTAAGCTTGAGGAATTTCTCTCTGTAGGTGCCTCACACCTGTATTGGGTCCAGCTAAGCTTTATAGATTTTTTTCATCTTATTTTCTAAGTAAAAAGCCAAATTCTAAGTGGCATCAAAAATAAGAAATACCTGTTCTCTGTTCTTGTCAAGTTAAAAGTCAAGCTCTGAAATATTGTGTTGTTATTTTTTTCCTCTGTCTCCTAGGCAGCATTGTGGTGGCATCATCATAGCTCACTGCAGCCTCTAACTGCTAAGCTTAAGTGATCCTCCCACCTCAGCCTCCTTAGTAGCTGAGACTACAGGAATGTGCCATTATTCCTGGCTAATTAAAAAAAAAATTATTTTTATATTCTTCTTTCCTGAGATGAATAACTTGAAAATTTTTTATAGAGACAGGGTCTTACTGTGTTGCCCAGGCTGATCTTGGATTCCTGGCCTCAAATTATCCTCCCACCTCAGCTTCCCAAAGTGCTAGGATTGTAGGTGTGAGCCTCTGTACTTGACTCACATTGCTCTTATTCTGTATGTTTTTGTATATCAGATAAGTAATTGATGTGCACATGGTTTACAAACTCAAAACACAACAATTTTTTTTTTTTTTTTGAGGCAGAGTCTCACTTTGTCACCCTTGGTAGAGTGCTGTTTTGTCACAGCTCACAGCAACCTCAAACTCTTGGGCTTTAGTGATTCTCTTGCCTCAGCCTCTGAAGTAGCTGGGACTACAGGCGCTTGCCATGCCTGACTGTTTTCTTTTTTCTTTTTTTTTTTTTT